GACGCCCCCCAGCACCCAGAAGAGGGGAAGGAGCTGCATCCAGGGCTCACCAAGGGGTTTTGGGGTGCAGGAAGGTGGGGACCCTCAGGGACACCCTCCAGCACCCAGAGAGAGGGGCAGGAGCTGCACCCGGGGCTCAAAAAGGGAGTTTGGGGGGCAGGAGGGAGGGGACCCCCATGCCGAGCCCCGTGTGCTCTGGGGGGCAGCCCGGGGGGGTCTGGGTCCCTGGGCTGGGTGCAGGTCCCACTCACCTCTCCATTCAGGAAGCAGTAGAGCAGGGCTACCAGGAACCCCTGGAAAGGGCAGAAGGGGCAATTTTTACCCCCACCCCCCCACCCCCAGGGAAGGGGTTGGACGCCCTGGACCTTGTTGATCTGGTGCCTGCAGGGATCATCCCCCCACCTCCCACCCCAGCCCCTGGGCAGGGGGCTGGTGGTGCCAGGGGACCAGGAGACCTCTCTGCTGTGTCCCTGGTGTTGGGGACACAGGGACCCCCCCTCAGCCAACAGGCCCTGCAGCACATCCCAGGGACTGGTGGGATGGGCTGGGATGGAGACCTGGGGGTTTGGTCTCCACACCCACATACAGACCCACATCCAGAGTGTTGGGGTGGGAAGGGACCCCTGGAGATCACCCATCCAAGCCCTGCCAGAGCAGGATCCCCCAGAGCAGATCCCACAGGAACACGTCCAGGAGGGCTGGGAATGTCTCCAGGGATGGAGACTCCCCCACCTCCCTGGGCAGCCTGTCCCAGGGCTCTGCCACCCTCCCAGCAAAGAACTTTCTCCTCATCTTCAGCTTGACCCTCCTGGGCTCCAGTTGGTGCCCATTGCCCCTTGTCCTGTCCCTGGGCACCCCTGGGAAGAGTCTGGCCCCATCCTCCTGCCACCCCCTGCAGATATTGATCAGCACTGAGCAGATCCCCCCTCAGCCTCCTCCTCTCCAGGCTCAACAGCCCCAGCTCTCCCAGCCTTTCCTCCCAGGCAGATGCTCCAGCCCCCTCAGCATCTCAGTGCCCTGGGCTGGACTCTCTCCAGCAGCTCCTTGTCCTTCTGCAACTGGGCAGCCCAGAACTGGGTGGTGCCTCCCCAGGGCAGAGCAGAGGGGCAGGAGAACCTCCCTGACCTGCTGGCCCCTTCCTGATGCCCCCAGGATGGCATTTTGGGGTTGTCAATAGAAAGAGAAGCCCCCCAGGGTGTCCCAGATGTGACCATGGCCATGAACCTCCCCCACCTGTACCTGGTGGGACCCAAGGACCAGCTCCAGGTACAACCGGGCGTCCAGGCCGACGTGCTGGGGGAACAGGGCAAACACCACGTAGTGAACCCCAAAGAGAGGGATGAGGAGCAGCGTGGACTTGGTCAACCTCCTGTGGGCAGGGGTGGGATGAGCAGGGACCTGCTTGCAGCCCTGGTCCTGCTGCCCTGCAAGGAAAACCCTTCCCAAGAGCTCGGGCTGAAGCCAAAGTGGGTTTTCCATGAAGGGCAGGTCTTGGAGGTTCCAGGGATGGTCCTGCTCTGGGTCTCCAGGGAAA